CAACAGCGGCGTTGTCATTGACAGCAGCATCCGCGCCCGCCAGCATCCGCCGCTGCGCAAGGCCGCACGCTGCTGCAAGGCCACACGCTGCTACGGGGGCCTCAAGCCACGACCCCCCCACTCCCTTACCCCTCACACCCCCAAATACCTGCAGAGCGGCTCAGAGAATTAACCCCTCCCAACCCTACCAGCACCTCCCCATCCTCCACCAACCACCCCGCTCGAGGTGCTGCCACCCCCCCAGAACTCTGCAAAACGCCTTACCCACCCCCTGTTAGATGGGGGTGTTCCCCTCCTCTCTCCCCCCTTTTTTTTTTTCCCACGCAGCACCGGCGCTCGCCCCGTCGGGGCTCTCCGGTTCGGGAAGGGGAGGGGGAAATCGCTGCCGCAGCGCTCCCCGCCGCAACCGTGACTCAGCCCCGGGATTAGTCAGCAACTGGGGCCGGCCCACCCGCAACCGGCTGCGCAGCTCCGCCGTTCCTCCGAGGCCCGCGACCCCCCACACTCCACTGCCCGGTCCCCCCGACGCGCACCGGGGGTCCGGGGGACCGGGGATGCGGAGTGGGGGGATCGCGGCCCCCGAGGAGGGGGTGTCGCATCCCGGAGCGCGGCCCGTTGCTGCCATCTCGTGGGCTTCCCACCAGCGACTGCAGCCGTGTCCTTGTCGCGGGAGGGGGGGAGAGGGCCCGGCCGTGTGGGTGGGGAGGGGGAGGTCACCTGTAGGGCTTGGGAAGGCGGTGGTCGATGAGGGGGAGTAAACGAGGAAGGGGTGGTGTCACCCCACCTGAGGGGGAAGGAGGTCTCGTGTCATCGTGACTCTACAGGGGAGGGGTCTTCACCTGCTTGGACATCACCCCACAAGGAAGGGATCCTATTGCCCCACGATGCATCATTTCAAAGCAAAGGGGTGTCCACCTCAAGCTCCAAAATATCATCCTGCTGGAAGCGTTCCTCAACCAATCTGAGCATTGTGCCACAAGGAAGGGGTCCCACTGCCCCAGGAAACATCACCAGGCAGGTATGGGTGCCTTTCCGTGAGAACTGCCCCACAAGAAAGGGGTCCCACTGCCCCATGAAGCGTCACCCATAAGGGAAGGGGTCCCATCGTTTCACCAAGCATCATCCCACAGGGAGGAGATCATCACCTGCCCGCAAAGAAGGGGTTCCATCACCCCATCAAGTGTCATCCCACAAGGAAAGGGTCCCACTGCCCCAGGAAACAACACCTGGCAGGGATTGGTGCCCTTGTTTGACTGAAAATTGCTCCCACAAGGGGTCCCACTGCTCCCGAGAAGCATCACCCGTAAGAAAAGGGGTCCCATCATCTCACCAAACCTTGACCCACAGGGACAGGACCCTCATCTACCTGGAGAGAACAGGTCCTGTCACCCCATCAGGCATCATCCCACAAGGAAGGG